AAAAAATAAAAAAAAGCAGAAAAGAAAAAAACAAAACAAAAGAAAAAGAAGTAGTTAGTGCTTGTCTGTTTATTTTGATTAGACATAAGTGAATCTGAGCATTTGTAAAGTTTAGTGGTTAATCAAACTTCCTTTAACTATTTACTGTATATCAGCTACTAGAAACTGGCTTCATCAATTTTGTTTTTTCTGGCTGGGTGGTATGGCTCATGCCCATAATCCTAGCACTTTGGGAGGCCGAGAGGCAGGTGGATCACCTGAGGTTAGGAGTTCGAGACCAACCTGGCCAACATGGCAAAACTCCGTCTCTACTAAAAATACAAAAATTAGCCGGGCGTGGTAGTGCGAGCCTGTAATCTCAGGTACTCAGAAGGCTGAGACAGGAAAATCGTTTGAACCTGGGAGGTGGAGGTTGCAGTGAGCTGATATCATGCCACTGTACTCCAGCCTGGGCAACAAGAGCAGGGCTCTGTGTCAAAAAAAAAAGGCCTGGTGCAGTGACTCACGCCTGTGATCCCAGCACTTTGGGAGGCTGAGGCGGGTGGATCACAAGATTGGAGATCAAGACCAGCTTGGCCAAGATGGTGAAACCCCATCTCTACTAAAAATTTAAAAATTAGCCAGGTGTGGTGGCGGGTGCCTATAATCCCAGCTACTCTGGAGGCTGAGGCACAGAATTGCTTGAACCTGGGACGGGAAGGTTGCATTGAGCTGAGATTGCACCACTGCACTGCAGCCTGGGCAACAGAGCAAGACTCGGTCTCAAAAAAAAAAAGGAAATTTTTTTCTCCTCCTGCCCCAGCCTCCTGGGTAGCTGGGATTACAGGCACCCACTACCATGCCTGGCTAATTTTTTGTGTTTTTAGTAGAGGTAGGGTTTCGCCACATAGGCCAGGCTGGTCTGGAATTCCTGACCTCGTGATCTACCCACCTTGGCCGCCCAAAGTGCTGAGATTACAGGTATGAGCCGCTACACCGGCCTTTTTCTCGCTCTGTAGCCCAGGCTGGAGTGCAGTGGCACGATCTTGGCTCACTTCAACCTCCCATTCTTGGGTCCCAGTTCAGGCAGTTCTCCTACCTCAGCCTCCCAAGTAGCTGAGATTATAGGCACGAGCTACCATGCCCAGCCAATTTGTGTATTTTTTAGTAGAGATGGGGTTTTACCATGTTGGCCAGTCTGGTCTTAAATTTCTGACCTCGTGATCCACCTGCCTTGGCCTCCCAAAGTGCTGGGATTACAGGTGTAAGCCACTGTGCTGGCCTGGCCGTTTTTTTTAAAAGAGATAACCTGACTTTGTTGCCCAGCCCTGAGTGGGGTGGTGCAATCATAGCTCACTATAGTCACAAACTCTTAGGCTCAGGCGATCCTCCTGCCTCAGCCTCCCAAGTAACTAGGACTACTGGTGCATGCCACCATGCCCAGCTCATGTTTGTTTTTTGTTTCATTTTGTTTTTTTGGAGAGAGAGTCTCATTATGTTGCCCAGGCCAGTCTTGAACTTCTGGACTCCTCAAACAGTCCTCCCACCTAGGTATCCCCAAGTGCTAGAATTACAGGAGTGAGTTACCACACCCAGCCCATCAATTTCCTTACCTCTTGATAGTCCCGAATATTTGGACAGCTGGCTTTGGAAGGAACATAGAACAAAAGGACTTCTAAATCTTAGCAGTATAGTCAATATTGTTTATTTTCTTTTTAAAAAAAAATGACGGGGTTTCACCATGTTGGCCAGGGTGGTCTCAAACTCCTGACCTCAGGTGATCCGCCCGCCTTGGGCTCCCAAAGTTCTGGGATTACAGGCGTGAGCTACTGCGCCCGGCCAGTTGTTTATTTTAATTTATTATTATTTTTTGAGATGGAGTCTCATACTGTTGCCCAGGTTGGAGTGTAGTGGCTCAATCTCTGCTCACTGTAATCTCTGCCTCCCTGGTTCAAGTGATTCTCCTGCCTCAGCCTCCCGAATAGCTGGGATTATAGGCATGCAGTACCATGCCTGGCTAATGTTTTGTATTTTTAGTAGAGATGGGGTTTCTCTATGTTGGCCAGGCTACTCTTAAACTCCTGACTTCCTGATCTACCTACCTCGGCCTCTCATAGTGTTGGAATTACAGGCGTGAGCCAGTGCGCCCGGCCTATTTTCATTTATTTACTTAGTTTTGAGATGGTCCCACTCTGTCACCTGGCTGGAGTGCAGTGGCTCAATCACAGATTACTGCAGCCTTGACCTTCGGAGCTTAAGCGAGCCATCCACCTCAGCCTCTTGAGTAGCTGGGTCTACAGGTGTGCCCAGCTAATTTTTGTAATTTTTATAGAGACAGAGTATCACTGTGTTGCCCAGGCTAGTCTCGAACTCCTCGGGAGGTCAGCCTGCCTTGACCTCCCAGAGTATTGAGATTATAGGCATGAGTCACTGCACCTGGCCTATTTTTAGATATATTTTATTTAATGCTATGAATTAATAATCACTGCCTTACTGTGTTCACGGAATACTTGTCCTCCAAGGCCAGCCAGATTTGTGGGTCTGCTGAAAGCATTAATTTCTCTGAGAAAAGAAACCAGTCTGTATTTTGTGAATTGTAGAATGGTTACAGATTAAGATTCATTAGGGAAAGACTGTAGCTTGGTTTGGTTTGGTTTTTAACAGTATTTTTTAAGGCATAGGAAAATAGGTCTGACAGAGGTAGGAAGCATTCTTATCATTCCTTACTAGATATAGAAAAAGATAAGATTCTAGGCCTGTAAAACAATTCCAACTTCTAGGCATCCATCTTCTGTCTTTCTGGCTTCCTAGGAAACCACAGCTGCTCCAGGGAGTCTATGCTATGGGCTTCAACCGACCATCCAAGATACAAGAGAACGCATTACCCATGATGCTTGCTGAACCGTGAGTATGCAGAGCCAAGCGCATCTCTCCCAATGTAATTAAGTCAGTCTTCCACAAACTTCGTTTTTGTGCCTGAGAACATGAGAGGCTGTTTGGGGCCATGTGTTTCTTCAGGTAAACAGCTTGGGCAATTGCAGAAAGAATCAGATGGAGTTAGGTAGAATTTCTGCCTTTCCCAGTTAACAATAGAAACTGATAAGAGAAAGGCAGTGCTTGATTCTATGCTATCTTAAAAACTGAGTTTACGGCCCTGCACAGTGGCTCACTCCTGTAATCCTAGCACTTTGGGAGACCAAGGCGGGTGGATTATCTGAAATCAGGAGTTCGAATCCAGCCTGGCCAACATGGCAAAACCCTGTTTCTATTAAAAATACAAAAATTAGCCTGTTGTCGTGGCATGTGCCTGTAATTCCAGCTTCTCAGGAGGCTGAGGCAGGAGAATCGCTTGAACCCCAGAGGCAGAAGTTGCCATGAACTGAGATTGCACCACTGCATTCCAGCCTGGGCAACAGAGCGAGACTCTTGTCTCAAAAAAAAAAAAAAAAATTGGCCTGAAAAACTCTATTTTGATGTAAATAGCATTGCAATGAATTAAAAAACAAACAAAAAATGTTATTTGGAAATTTTCGAGACCTACACAAAGGTGTAAAGAATAATACCAAGAACACCTCTGTAGCCCTATCCTGCCAAGAAAGGAAGCAGGTCCAGTTAGTTGAAGCCCCTGAATTCCCCTCCTTCCAAATCTTTCTCCCACCCCAACCAGAGTGAGTGCCATCCTGAGATGAGTCGTTATTTCCGGTTGCTTCTTGTGACAGGGTTCACTGTGTTTCATCGGCTAGAGGGCAGTGGTGCAGTTATAGCCCACTGCAGCCTCAACCTCCTGGGCTCAAAGAATCCTCCCACTTCCCAGCCTCCTGAGCAGCTGGGAATATAGGCATGTGCCTCCATGCCCCACTGACTTTAAAAAAATTTTTTTGTAGTTTGGGAGGCTGAGGCAGATGTATCACTTGAGGTCATGAGTTTGAGACCAGCCTGGCCACCATGGTGAAACTGCATCTCTACAAAAATACATAAAAATTAGCCGGGTATGGTGGCCAATGCCTGTAATCCTAGCTGCTAGAGAGGCTGAGGTGGGAGGATCGCTTGAACCCAAGAGGCAGAGGTTGTAGTGAGCTGAGATAATACCAGTGGGTGACAGAGTGAGACTCTGTCTCAAAAAAAGCTTTTTTTTTTTTTTT